GGCCCGCCCAGCCCGGACTGGTTTGGTGGGAGCGAGCGAGCGCGAAAATCGAACGTGTACATGTAAGTGTGTGTGTGAGTGAGCGAGAAAGAGAGAGTAGTAATTCTAGTCGGTGCTGATGTCCGCGCGGCCGCGCCCTGCTGGTCCGGGGAGGAGTAGCTCTCGGTGCAGATGTCCGCGAGCGGACGCGCCGCCGCCGGTGCCGCGCTGCGAGGGGGCGACTCCCGCCGCACAAGAGGGCACGTTGGGTTGCCTACTCTCCTTCTTGCAGGGGCGCTATGCCTCTGCACGGCGGCGGTGCCTGGAGATGGAGTCGAGAGAGCGATAGAGAAAGGGGGACAAGGACGCGGGCAATTGTGTACGGGAGACGTGGGATCAAGTAAACACGAAGCAGTGACGAGTTATGGCAACGCACAATTTTACTAAATCGAGCACTTACATGAAAGATAGATAGTAATACACCAATTTTCTGAAGTTACAAAAAAAGGAGTGTGGAATATAGTACTTACAGGTATAGAAATATTAAAGGATAAGGGTGAGACATTAATATGAACTATTGTAAAGGAACTAGGACTCTTCAATCTATGCTCGGCAGCCAGAACTTAATCAAACAATCGACAATAAATGTGCTGTACCTATTAAGTTAAAACAATTACGCAGAACTTGAAATAAGAAATATAAACAATAGTCAAGATTTAAAAATTGAAAGTTTAAAAATACAAATGCTTCAGGATATTGTGAGTTGTATAACATTGATAATAAAATAAATATTGCATAACATAATATTTTCTTAAGAATGCATTATCACAGAACATAAATTATAGCCTACATGAGTAAGATCACATAGTTTAACGCTGCAGTAACAACTAGGCAGTCTTCAACATTAAAAATAATAATGTAGTATTGTTAATAAAGAAAAAAAGATATGGCAGGTAGCAAAAATAGATCTACGTAGACTGAAAACAATGGCCATGATGACTCTAAAAAGGACACATTTGTAGTACCTATTTTAACTAGAGCAAAGCTAACATCAACATGGCAGAGTTAAGTTTAGCTTGAAGTTAAACAGCCAGTATTATACATCATAAACTAATACTGTGGTCAGTCTTCTGAAGGAATCTCAACTTTGCCTATCAAAATGATTTACATTACATTTTCTATTAACTAAAAGGCTAAAGTTTGAAGAAGCAGTCAAATTATGTTATTGGGACCATAAAACGGTAAGAATCTGATGATCTTAGGCATCACTGTTAAGGCTGTTATTTGATATGTCAGAGCACAACTTGGTAGTAGACATCTCATCTGCCAATGCCTCCATAATGTCAAGCAAGAGCTCGCGACTGAGTGATCTAATTTTTGGCATTTTGATAACCTGTCAAAAAATTAAATTTTGTAATCAGGGAACCCAAAAAGCTGATGACATGAACATCCACCTAAATAATTTACACCAGGAAAGATCTGATAAAAATTACCTTTGGGAAATATTTAACAATGAGGCGTAAAGAGTACTTTTTCATGTCAATAGCTTGCATGCGATCAGCAGCCTCTAAAATTTGCACAACATTGTCACAAGATACGTTTAACTCTAAATTTTGCTTGCAGAATGCCTAGAATTGGAAACACCACATAAATTTAAGTACAGTTACGATTCTAGATAGATCGGTAGGAAGATGGAAATAATCTGGTACAGACCCATGGGATGATAACTTACCTGAAGACGGTTATTTGTGAAATTATAAAAGTATGGGGTGCTGAAGAGGTAAAGGGAATCTTCAGGAGGCATATTAGTATCTCCGTAATACACAAATCGAAGCAGAGAGTTAAAAGACTGAAGAGAGGGTATCATTTCACCAATTTGAATCTAAAAAAAAATAAATAAGATCATTCAGGAGGTTCAAGTGGTGAAATCTGTGGGGAAAAGATTTTTCTTTTTAAGAAACCAAAAATACCTACTTGTACTAGGCCATTTTCAGGCATGAATGATCGAAATAGCCCTTCAAAATATCCACAACGAGCTGCAAGGATTGCCTTGTGGGCTCTGATGTGATTACCATCCAGAACAAGAGTTATGTCACAGAAGTCATTACCAACATGGCTTAAAAATAGTTCCATATCCTGTTCCAAGGTTGTTCCTGTCAGAAAATAAATTTTGTACAAATACTGTATAATTTAAGATACTCCCTTTTACAAGGAAAACCATGAGAATTATAGCAGCTTAATTGAAATCAATCAAATAAAGACAAATTCTATGATAGCAGAATAGGTTACAAACACAGAAAAGCAAAATCTTGAATTGTGCCTATGAAGAAGCTGTCTACCTAAATATCTATTTCACATTGCATTATATAGGCTTCACAAAAAATACTAATGCAGAGCCAAACAAACAGCAGCTAAAACGGCAATGAGCTGACTTGCCTTGCAAAGGTCCAGGTGTCCTTTTACATGGATTAAATTCACATGGATCTTTTATAGTTTCAGGTATGTCTATATACACTGAAAACAAACCATAACATCATAACAACCCCACAACATCAATAACCGGTAAATGAAAATTACATTTGAATTCAACACTGTCAATAATGCCAGAAGAAATAGCAAGATTGTAAATTTAGATGCTAAACACAGGACTTAAAAGTCAATCAATGAAGATTTGAACTGACTATAGAATCATAAAATTGGAATAAGTACCACTAGTCACTCATAATTCTGAAATAAATGATTCCAAACATACCATTGAATTCAGTCATGAGTTGGGTTTCCTGGGCTTTCTTGAGAACGGGTAATTGCTTTCTCCTTATTATTTCAACCATTAGTGGTTGATCCAATGTTTCAAAGTCAGGGCTCATAACAATCTGCGTATAATTTGTCTCTCTGACAATCAATTTCAAACAAAGTTCCTTGATAAATGGTAGTTTTAGGTCATGAGCACATAATAGGGCTTCTAAAACATTGGTATGATTCACAGTGGATTCCAAGTACTGAACACAAATATGCTCCAGTCGTAGCATGATGAACTAGACAGAAAAGAAGAGATAAAAACACAAAGTCAGACCGCAAACTTTATAAAAATTAACTAATGACTGATGAATGATCAAAATTTATTGAAGAGTACAGTATTTCATTACCTTACAAGCCAAACGATACACATCCAACATCAATAGGATAACTCTGTTGCTTGCAGGATCTTTAACTAAAGATAGAAAAAATGATTTAGAAAAAAAATGTAGTTAAAACAAAAAGTATATGAGAAACCAGAACTCACTTTTCTTTGAGGGATCAATACGGTCAGTATATATGTAATTCAGAACTAATTGAAATGATTCAGAATTCACATCTGGCAACCTCACTACTAGAGATGGGACATCTTTAAAAATCTCTGCTGTACCATACTCCTGTATGAAAGAGAAAAGCAAAATTTCAGTAAAGTTATCCTTTGATTGCTAATACAACCTACAGCTGAACACATTAGTTGTTGGCTATTAATTTTACCTTCTCCAGCATTTTATCCCTGATATCTTGAGCTTGTCTAATGTGGGTTCGCAGGTACTGAGATCGAGCAGCAACCATGGCAGCATGAGCAGGAATATGTGTTTCTTCTTCTCCAACAATAAAATTGATATCACTAAAAAGTTGGGTTTCAAGTAGTTTTCCAAAATCCTCTGTGAGAGTACATTTAGGATAAGTTGAAAACTGAAACACAACATGAAACATGTAAATTATTAAATTATCATATAGATTACAAGATATGGAGAAAGCAGTTATGGTTTCTAAATTCTTGCCTGGAAGCGGAACATTTCTCCACTGCGAACATTATTATCTACTGTGCCACCAAAAACATACATAGCATCACCCACAACAGTGGCAGCATGAAAAAGACGTCCTCCAGGAACTTTTGAGTCTGGAGAAGGTTGAATTACCTGTGGTTTTAAAAATTCATTTAAACAAGCACAGATTCTAGTTAGCTCAAAACATGATAGTATAATTTTAAAACAAATCACTTACAGACCATGTTCCACTATCTACATCATAACAATGCACATCATTTGGTAATGTGTTATCAGCAGTTCCACCAAAGACATACAAATGCTGATCATGAGTTACCATAGTATGTCCATACCGTCTAGCAGGTGGAGCTGGAGTACCTCTGAGCAGATGCTCTGTTGATATACGGGACCACCTATTTTCAAATTGAAATAATATTCAGATGACATACTACAGAAAGAAAGTTCCATGCAGTCCGATACAGTCTTTAGCTCCTGAATAACTCACATTTTAGTACGGAAATCAAACTGGAATAAAGTATTGGTGATTTTAGCTCCACTTTGGCCACTGAAAACATACATGCAGCCCTTGGCAACTGTTACTGGAAAATTACAGCAAGTTGGAGGGCAGTCACCACTTTGTTCAATTTGTTCCCATATGTGTGGAGAGTCGTCCTGTTTGTTCCAGAGACACAGTGTTAGAATATTTTTTTAAATAGTGTGTAACTAGAGTGATCTGTATAAAAATGAGTTACCTTCAATGAAATTGCCCACATGTCATTTAAACGGGCATTACCATCATATCCAGCAAAAATGTACAGATTGCCATCATAAACAGCAGCGCCATGAGCTGATCTTGGGACAGGAGTACTGACAGGAAAGAATTAGTTAAAATGTATTGATTACAGCACAAAAGCAAAGGATAGAAAACAGTAAAAAAATACTTGACTACTCACAGACCAACATATTTCCACTCTACCCACATGGCAGCCCCAAATTTATACTCAAAGAGATCATTTTTGTTAGTGAGATTTGAGTTAGAATGTATGTCACCAGTGTAGCCTCCGAACACAAACATTGAGTTTTCGTAAACCTGAAAATAATTCACGACTTTTATTAGTTTTTCATAATCAACTGCTGAATCAACAAGACAAATCCGGCATAAAAAAAGCTCACCACAGCTGAGTGGTGATAGCGAGGTGCTGGAGGGTTTTGTCCTTGGGGTACACGACCCCAAGATTTACCTTTACAATCATATACGAGTAAATCATTCAACATACTTTTTCCATTGTCACCTCCAAAGACAAAAACATTATCCTTGTAAGAAACCATTGTGTGCTTGCTTCTCCTAAAATGTGTCAGAAATTTTGATCAGTGGAATTTCACAAACAATAAAATATTGCTGTCAAACAATCTTGTTTGTCTTACCTTGATCCAACAAATTCACTACATTCTTGCATTCGCTTCCACTTATGTACAACTTCAAAAGGTCCAAACTCTAATGTGAGACAATCGGCTGATGCTTGGGAGAAATCAACCTCTCCTGTGCTTCTAGGAAAGCGTGATGTAGGATTCATTTTGCTGAGAAATAAATTCTGGAACAAAAGGAGACAAAAGTTATATGAATGCGCTGATCTGTTGAATGAAACATAATACGTGACTAAACATAAATGAAAAACTACTTACAATTATTCTTCTAGTTTCTTGTTCATTTATAAGCTCCGCTGGTGCAGTGGGAGTTCTGCTTCCGGCCTGCTTCATCAAGAACTTTGACACAAGTCACTGAGGAGGTATTTAACCAAGTCATGCGTTACAATAACGCTTGTGTGTCATTAGAAGTAAGCACCACAAAGCCAGAAGATAATGCTACTCTGATTGTAGACATATTGGTGATGCAGCAGCAGCTTAAAGATACGTCATTAATCGATCTAATGTTCCCAGGCTTTCCTGGAACTTCCAGCAAGCAATATCTGTCTCCAGGATTTGCAGAAGTCCAGTCAGTATGCAGTGCAGGAATGTTTCTTGAGGTAGGGCTCTGGATGGCTCATTCAGGCCCCGATCGCTCACTGAAAGAATTCACAAAGTTCTCGGTCAAGAAAATTTACGCACATCGTATGATCATGAAATTTCGGTAAGTTAATGAAGCCAGAGCAGGGTTTATACACACTTCACACACTTCTCCAGTTTACTCGGACTTGGGCTAGTCGGGTCGGGTGTCTGCTGCTGGCCTGCGCAGAAACAGAACACAGCATATGAAAAATTTAAACGAACACCCAACTTGTCGATACTCTGTCTGACAGCACACTGCTGGCTGGCAGTGGCAATACTCCACGAACATTTTTATTTCGATTGGCCGTCACTAGATGGCATTGACGACAAACTTGAAGCAACATGATGACAGAAACTCTCTGCGGGAGCGGCGCTGTGGCCGGCTGTGTGGTATGATCATGGAGATCATGGAGTCTTAGTCGCTGCGGGAGAGCTACACTTTTGTCGTCTGACCTCTCCTCTCACTAAGGAACCAAAAAAGATTTATTGACATCTTTTCATATGGTGTTCCCAGCAATTCAAAACGCAATTGTGTGAACAAAGAAAATAGGAGATCTTTCTCAGTCCACCAAAGGTCGAATGGACTTCAAACTCGTCATTTCACCACGTAGTGGATTTCCGACGGCGTGAAGGGGTTACCCGTGCTGGTGGCACTGCGTCGAAGATGACATTTGACTCTGCTCTGGGACCGATGTTAGACTCACGGCGAAAAGCGGGCCGTGGTGGGCCGTGGGAGTGGATGGGTTCCGACTTGCACGAAAAGCGGGTGTAAGCCCCGTTTTCCTCGTACCTTGCTGTGTGGTGTGGGTGCGCTAATGTCCGAGGAATCTACTTGTAAAGGGGTTCCATGCCCTGTGGTGGGTAAGTAGCCTACATTCTAACCAACGTGTACGCATTCGACCCCCCCCCCCCCGGGAACCCCGGGAGTATGTTGTGAACACTGGTTGGACGGAAGCGGCCCTGCGTTCACCGCAGTGTGAGGGGCATCGCATGCTCCCTTTTTTGTCGGGGGTGGGGCGTTAGCATTTAGCCGACCGGACTTTGCCTTTGTCCATGTCGATTGTAGCTACACCTGTGTAGCTAAAAAAGGGACGAGAGAGTCGCCCCTTCGCACGCCCCCCCCCCCTTAAAAACCGCCCCTGTTTGCACTGCACTGGGCTGTCGCGTGTTAGTAAATCGGTAACAAAAAAGTTGGACGCCTCCAACTCTAGATTATCCACCCGTGTTAAAGAGCCGGATGTGTTCCTCTTCTTCCTGTAGCTATGGAAGTAGTGGATGAGGACGCGTCCTCTGCGGTTGAACCACAGCCCGTAACCCCGCCCCGCCCCGCCCTCGCTCAATCCCACGCTCCCCCG